CAACCTTTTTGACACCAGAGACTGGTGCTCCTATAAGAATCTAATGCCTGATGATCTGAAGTGGGACTGAGGTGGTGATGCTGGCGCTGGAGAGCAGCTGCAAGTACAGATGAAGCTTCTCTTGCTCATTACTCATCTCTTGCTGTACGACCCGGTTCCTAACAGGCCACAAACCGGTACTGGTCCCTGGTCCAGGGATTGGGGATCCCTACTCTAGAGAATATTCTTTTTTTTTAAAGCAGGTACTCAGCACAATTTGGTTCAGACTATAAGTTCTGTCTCTTCTCCTATGGGCATGGTTCTAAGGTCAGTTTAGTTTTCAAAGCCTTGGTTTTGCTGCTTTGGGCCTGTCCCACACATGCATCTCTTAGACATTAGTTTGAGACTTGGGTGGAAGTTTATATTGTGGCTTAGTTCTCAAAGCCGTTGCTATATGGCTTGTAATCTGTTGCATGCATACATAATGCAGGGATGAGCTCAGAACTAATGGCAATTTATATACAGAATTATAGGATCACTCACCCAGCTCTTTCATCTTCAGAATTCCCCTCTCTCTTGCCCAAAGCAGCTCCCTTTCCTGGTCTTCAGGAGAAAGGATAGGTTTCTTTCAGAGTTTGGGCTGCCCATACTGCCACTGCAGTTCTGCTGGGTGTTCACTTTTGGTTCAAAGCTTAGAGAGAGAGTAAGAAACAAAACCAGAAAACTTAATTCTACGTTGCTTTGTCAAGTTTGATTTCCATTCCCAATCTATTTCATTTAGTTTCCAGAGACCACAGGTGCATTTTAGCTCAAGCTTTTAGTTGTATTAGTAGGAGAGAGAAAGTTTAGTGAGCTTACTCCATCTTGATCAGCTCTGAAAGGCCTGTTTTCTCACTTATTTTAAAGCATTTTCCTATATCATTAAAACTCTTTAAATAACATTTTATGATTTCATTAGGTTCTATTATATATACTTTAATTATCCATTCATTCTCTTGAAAGCTATTTTTTATTTCTAATATTTACTATTACAAATAACACTGTGATGTGTAAATTTGCATCATTTTCTATTTCTTTAGGATATTTTAGATAATTACTAGTTTAAAGATTACAATAATGCTCTTAAAGCATATTGTCAAATCGCTTTTCAAAAAGCCTTTTTAAAAATAAAGCATTATATACAACTTTTACCAGTTTACATAAAGAAATAGTGTCTTATTTAAAATTTGGGTTCACAATTGAGCAGAAATATTTATTTTTCATGCTCATGTATATTTTTTCTTTTGTAAACTATATTTCTGTTTTCATTTATTAGAAAAAGTTTAATAAATTTGTTACGAATTATAAATATATAGAGAAGAAATTATATATGTATCTGTTCATTAGTGCAAAAGAAAACACCAGAACAAACCAAAAACTAATGAGACTATTTACTTACAAGGATAAGGGGAAGTGGAGAAAATAGGAATGAAAACAGGATACAAGAATTAGGGGGAATGACACTTCCCTGGATTATACATTTTTATATAGTTCTGACTTATAGAATTATGTGAATGTTTTACAAACTTATAAAATTAAAAAAAAGATGGAAAGTCAAAACCGAAATAGAAACAAAAAAATTAATCCAATTATACTACAAATAATATAACCAATCTAAAGGGAGGGATGGGAAAAAAAAAAAAAAACCTAAGTAACTTTGGAAGGCAATATTTTAATTGAATATCCAAAAGCTAAAGGCAAAATGTCTACAGATATTTCATTTTAATAGCAAGTGTGCATTAGTAATTTCCAAAATATATTATGTATATTTGAGGATTAAGCAAATAAATAAATATATTGTGGTCCTGAAGTCGTTTTCTCACTGTTGGAGAAAAGAGTTACATGTAAGGAAAGAGGGGAAGGTAGAATTAATGCTGTGGTATTGGACTGGAAATGGAAGTATCAATATGAACTCATGTGTTTTTTAAACATAACTATTTATAGATACAAGTAGACAAATATAGAAATACATATAATTATATACACATATATCATTCTGTCAACTGAGAAGACCTAGAAGCAATGATATCCAGTACCAATGAGCAGATCTGGTACCCATTCTTCATTTCTGAATACCATTCTCCAATAAAGAAATCAGGGCTTTTGGAGAAATGATTCCAGGACTAGGGTGGAGAAATTATAAGAGAAACATCTATGCCAGAACATCTTGAGAAGGTAAGGAAAGTCTTAAAAAAAAAAAAAAAGATGGGGTCTGTATTAGTTTTCTACTGCTGTGTAATAAATTCCCACAAACTTAGCAGCTTAAAAAAAGACACAGTAATTCAGTTCTGTAGATCAAAAGTACAGCTTGACATGTAAGGTTCTCTGTTCAGAGCATCACAAAGCTAAAATCAATGTGCCAGCCAGGTTGTGTTCTTTCTGAAAGCTCCGGGAAAGAATCTACTTCAAAGTTCATTCAGGTTGCTGCCTGAGTTCAGATCCTTGAGGTTGTAGGACTGAAGTCCTTGTTTCTTTGCTGGCTGGCCATGGGGAGTCACTCTTAACCTCTGAAGGCTGTTCTCAGGTTCTTGTCACATGACTCCATCATGAAAACCAGATTTATTCTCACATTGAATCCCTCCCACACTTTGCACCTAACTTCCTCTGTCTCTGATCTCTCACCCATACTTAAAGGGTTCATATGATTAGGTCAGGTCCACCTGGATTATCTCCCTATCTTAAAGTTAACTGGTTTGGGACTTTAATTACATCTGCAAAATTCTTCACAGTAGTACCTATATTAGTGTTTGATTGAATAACAGGATGTTACACAGGGGCTGGGAATCTTGACACTCATCTTAGAATTCTGCCTACCACAGGGTCCTATACAATAGGACACGAGATACAGCAATCAATAAATATAAATTGCTAGAATATTATTGTTTAGGTCTGTGGGATCCAGATAAATCAACAGCTTACTCTTTAAAAGTAATCTTCTTAATCAGTGTTTGCCTCAATCAACTTCATGTATTGTCAGACATCACTAATAGTTTATCAGAAACAGTGCAAACGTGCATTTCAAGTACTGTAAAGGAAGAGAGCTTTGTATTTAGTGCCTACTATGGGTTCCCCAAAGCCTGCATTTTATCCTACTCTGCTCCTCTGAGGTATTACTGTCCCTATTATCTGAAGAGGACAAGGCTCAAATTGTTTAGTGAATCAGCTGGCATTGATTTCCATCCAAAAATCTTGTAAATGCAAAAGTGCACTGCCAATGTTAACCAGCATTCACACAATAATAAAACACATTTAAAAAGGGGGAGAGCACAAGAGCCAGCTTGAAATGCCTCCCAAAGGCTAAATTTGAGATCATTTGTGCAACAAAATAATGATAGTAATGGATTATAACACAAAATAAAATATATACCCATTATATAATTGAATAAAAAAATGAGGGTGAAAGGAAAGCTCTCAGTAGAATTCAAATATATGTAAAAGGGATGATAGTAGGAAATTACCATTTGACATATACCAGAGCAATAAGTATTTCAGGCAGAATGATCAGCAAATCTTAAATTTGTGGGCAGAATGATGAGAAATGGGTATTTACATAATCTCGAAGTATCTTTCCAGAAAGATACTTTGTAATTAATTACAAAGAAAATAGTAACCATACAACAGGAAAAACCTAGCAGACACTACCTTAATCAAGTAATGTTACAATCCCCAATAAGACAAGTTGACATCCAGTGCCTCCCGATGTGATGCACTGAGGATACGTCACTTCTATGGAGTTCTTACCAGAGTAATTATGAGAAACAACAGACAAATCAAAATTGAGGGCATCCTATAAAATAAGTGAACAGTACTTTTCACAAAGTACAAAGGTCATGAAAGGCAAGGAAATGGCGAGGAATTGCTTAAGAGACTAAGGTGATACTACAACTAAATATAACGTGACTCTGTATTGAAATCTGGGCCAGAAAAAAGATATTAGTGAGGTAATAGCAAAATTTTAATGCAGTCTATATTTTGTAGTTTCAGGTCACTC